CCAAAAACCCATGAACAATTAAAAAATAACACATAGATAATTAAAATTAATCCATTAAAAATACAAACTGTAAAACAAACCCTATACATAAATAAAACATCCAAGATGACAGGGGGGCGGAGTTGAGTGATTACGTTATGGTGCTTGGTCACCATTTTATGTTTTGGATTTATAGACTGTACATGTTTTAATGCTATATGGGGAGGGGGTGTTGGTTTATTGTTTCCATGCTGTACACCACCCAGAGTCACATTGTTTGTGTTTGGCAGCCTTATAAATCTAGTTAGTAAATAAGTAAATGAATATTTGCCTTTCTCCTCCTATCGTCCTGACAGAAAGCACAATTATTTGGGAATATATACCATTCTGTTATAGAAAGGGATGCCATGTTATAAAAAAAAAAATGCATCTGCAATCACACTAGTACCTGACTGCCATCACTTGTTTTATAAACAAGACTAAAGGTACTGCAGTGAGACTGCTCTGGTCTCCTGGATGTTCTCTGGATGACCACATTGTGGGTCGGGTCCTGCTGACAACCTCCCAAGCCTGCAGGCCTTTTGCCTCTAGATGCAAGTGGGCTTCAGGGGCCAAATTATGCCTCATATAGGTCTACCAGTAGCCTTCTCCATACTCACTCATCCCCCAGCACTCCGTGAAAGTAGGCAAATTCCATCAGTGTCAGATCATTGAGGGAATAGCTGGACAGGCCGTTGCCAACCCCAAATCCCTAAGAAGTCAGAGGGCAAAAAGTTATCCTGAGGAAGCAGGCGAAGGGCAGAAAAAACTATTGCTAGAACTGGGATGGACACCAAGACCAAGTCTGCCTGCTTGAAAGCACAGAGCCCTTCAGCCTTTCTGCTGTGGCTGCCATTTAATGGGCTTTATTTTGTGAAGGACTCTGTGCTCCAAGACAAATTTCCCAAAATGTGATGGCCAGTCAGTAGCTTAGTAGAACAGATTCCATGTCATGAAGCAAATGAGATCTTCCTAGACTCACTTTGGCTGTTTGCTTGTGACTTAGAAATACAATCTAAGCATTTATGTCATTTTAATGAATTTCTTTGCAATTTGAACCAGTCCTGGGGGAAAGGAGGTGAGAGGCTACCTTCAGAGACAGCCATCAAAAGGGGATTAAAACTGGAGCCTTGTTCACAGTTCTATCTTCCAGGGTGGCTTCTTACACTCATAAAAGGGGCCCTCAAGAGTTGTTCTCATCCATTTGTGGAACTAACTAAGGAAAGTAGGTCGGCATCCCAAGTGTTGCGTTTTCTGAGTAGAGACTTTCAGGAGAATGTTGTCTGTTGAGATGCATTTCCTAATCAGGGCAGATCTTGTCCCTAGTTACTAGTGAGAAGAGTTTCTTGGACTGCAGTTATGTTTACCTTCAGATTGATGGCTGCTGATCCCTCCGCGATCTTGGCAGCAAGAGTGGGGACGTAGACTCCAGCATAGCTTTCCCCAAAAATATAAAAATTGTTGTTGGCAAAATCTGGAAATTTGGCAAAGAAGCTCTGGAGGGCCTGGTAGTTCTCTTCAGCAACCTGAAAGGGAAAGAAAAATCCACAGCCCAAAAAGCTGGCTTGAGAAGGGGCCACAAAGCTTAGTACAAGGCAAGGGAGAACAAGCAGACAAGGTTTACTGCTTGGGGGAGGCAGGCAGGGCTAGATCCCCAGGCCACATCTGCTCCTACCTACCAGGAGAGCCACATGCAGACTGGCTGGGCTGATGCCAGGCCAAACCCATCCTCTGCACTGCTACCTCCAAACAAGTGAAGAGGCTGCCTGTCCTCTCCTCATCAGCTGATCCTTCGTATTACAGCCTTAAATTGGCTCCATGTGCAGAAAGAATCAAAAGGTGGCTCACCTGGCTATCGTTGATGGAATTTCCATAAGCCACGGCATAGGAGTAGCCCACTCCACCTGGAGATTCCACATAAAGCATGTTGGCCACTTTGTTCCAGCTGTCAGGGTTCAAGTAGAGCGTGCCATCATCATGCAGCTATAAAAAAGAGGCAAAGTAAGGTGCACTAACCCTAACCAGTCATTCATCAGGCTTTGCACAGCGGGGGTTGCTCCACCCACCCAGGACAGCACGTTCTTCCTAGGGCCAGCCTAGGGAACGCATTGTAAGTGTTGTTACCAGTTGTACAACTTCCTTTGAAAACTGTTCTCGTGACTGGGAGAATGCACTTAGCAGCTGGGGAATGAGGTACTCTAGAACAAAGCATCAGCCATTCCCCCCACCCCCCACAGGAGTCCCTGAGGGGTGAGTGATGAGAGAAATCTGTTGTGGAGAAATGGCCCTAAACGGGAAGGGTTAGTGTGAAAGGAGGAGGATGTCCATGAGGGAGAGTCAGCCTACAGGGGCACCGGCAAAGGGCAAGATGGTGGGACAGGGAAAGGCCCAGGGGGCACAGCTGCCCCGGTCCCCTTGCAGCTTCTCACAGGTTTCTTTCTGGCTCTGGCTCTTCAAAACTGGTTGTCACCTGGTAAAGTGGGAGTAGCTGCCAAGGTCCTGCCCTGCCTTGCCTAGCCTTCTAGGGAGAGGCCCTCCTGGCTCTGCCCCCCACATGCCCAGATGAGCCCTGTGGGAAGGGGGGCTGGCTGGCTTGTGGCTTGCTCTGGGTAGGGAGAGCCCAATGCTTAGGTTTCCTTCAATAAACTCTGGTTCAGTTCACCATAGGATGCTGTATTGTGTGAAGTCAGGCCATGCAGCCTAAGGGAGAAAGTATAATGGTATGTGGGAATGACCTTGGGAGATAGGCAAAAAGATGCAGCCCAGGGAACAGTCAGATAAAAGGTAACTTAGCCCGCAAGAAGAATGTGGGTGGTGCAAGAGGCTCAGAAGAGACCCTCCCTAGTTTCATGGGCTGTAAAGGAGACAAGGAGAGATATGTATTTTCAGACTTGTAAGATTCTGTTAATGTAACCTTACAATAAAGTAGAATTAGCTCATTTGGCTGTGTTTCCTGTCTGGTCTACCTTGTAAGGCTGACAGAAAGCCAGAACTAGGGCCTTACAGTACTTTCAAAGGCAGGGCCCAGAGCTGCAGTGTGTGAAGCCCAAGGACAGAATCCGGACCTGCAGATGTGATGCCCTCCCACCCCAGCACAACGGTGAGATCCCCCTTCTCTCTAGAGCGCAGTCCAGCATGCTTCTCTGCAAGCCCCTCATGGTCTCCTAGCCAGACTCACGTGGAAAGGTCCGTTCTCAGCCAGGAATCCCTCCATCGAGCTGCAGCCAGGTCCCCCATTTAGCCAGAGCACCACAGGATCAGCAGCTGGGTTGCCCTGAGACTCCACAAACCTGAAGGAGCAGGAAATGGAGGGCTGTCCTAAAGAAAGCCTATCCAAATGGCTTCAGAGGAACAGCAGGACATTGGGAGAATTCATGTTAAGTACAGTCAGGTCCAGAAATATTGGGACATCGACACAATTCTAACATCTTTGGCTCTGTA